ACCTGGGGCAGACTCCCATCCTCCACAACTGTATCAAACTCATTTGTCATCAGCTCCCCAAGGAAGTCTTCCACCTCATCCAGCTCCAAGTCAGCATTGCGGATGAAGTAATCCTCCACTGCACCCCCCAGCCACTCCGCCTTCTCTTGGCTGTGCACGCCCCCGAATCCATTCTCTACAGCGATCTGTAAAGCAGGCCAAGCCTCCAACGCCGCGCGGACGCCAGCCCTGAAGAGGGCTCGTGCATCTTCCCCGGCGCCCGCCATCATCCAGTCTGTACCACGTGAAACCCAGGCTGCCCAATCCCGCCACAGATCGTTACAGGCTGAACCAACCGAAAGCTGATTCTGAGAACAGACTCTCTTTTCCGCTGACCTGGCAACAAGACCAGAGCAATAGAAAAGTCTATCAGACCGATTGATGACACCACCACAGTTAACACTTGTAATAATTAAATCAAAGGACAACCAACGTGAATGATTTCTGAGCCTCGATTTCCCGATCCGTGGGTGCTGCGCAAGAAAAATGTGGGGTAGTTATTAGGTCTACAGACTCCAGGCTCTGGGACAGAGGACTCAGGGAGCTTAGCCTAAAAACAAAATCTATATCGTAAATAGCATGCTAACATCTGTGGAACACTGCAAGCAACGAGAGCAGAATACACATTTTTCTGAAGTGCACAAGAACATTCTCCAGAATCTACCATAAATTAGTCCATAAATCAGCCGGGCACAGTGGTGCATGAAGGGTGAGGCAGGAGGATCACAAGTTTGAGACCAGCCTGGGCAACTTAGCAAGACTCTGTCTCAAAATAAAAAGGGCTAGAAAATGGGCTGGGATTGCAGCTCAGTGGTATCACACTTGCCTGGTAGAGTGCTCACTTAGTACAAGTGCTCGATCCTTAGCACGACATAAAGGTAAATAAAATAAAGGTGCTATGTCCATCTAAAATTTTTTTAAAAATTAAATAAAAAGGGCTGGGAATGTGGCTCAGCCTTTGGATTTGATTCCCAGAACCACAAAAGAAAAGAAAAATGTCCGTTTTAAAAATCAGTAGTGCAAGGTGCTGGGTTCCATCCTCAGCACTAAAAATAAATAAATAAATAAATAAATAAAATAAAGGTATTGTGTCCAACTACAAGTAAAAAATAATTTTTAATGAAAAAAAGGGGATGGGGTTGTGGCTCAGTGGTAGAGCATTTGCCTAGCATGTGTGAGGCCCTGGGTTCGAGTCTCGGCACCACATATAAATAAAATAAAGGTCCATTTACAACTAAAATAAATATATATTTTAAAAAATGAAAAAAAAATAAGTTGCAATGGCAGAGCAGCATGGGCCTTATTTAAAGCATAAAGTGGACCTCTGTTACAGTATGGAGTAAAATTAGAAATCAATAGCAGAAATAAACTTCTGAAATACATGGAAATGTACACTCCAAAGTAATGAATGGGTCCAAAAGGAGAAAGTTCACAGAGACAGTAGAAAATACTTTGAAATGAAAACAGCATACCAAAATTTGTGAGCTATAGTTGGAACAACACTTAGAGGGAAATTTGAAGCTGTGTTTTTTTTAATGTAGTTGTCAATGATAACAAAATCTCAATCCTTGTCTGTTGCCAATCCAATAATGAGGACAAGGTATTGAGAAAAAGGAAAAGTTTTATTGTTCAGCTAGCAAGGGAGAAACACAGGGGACTCCTGTCCCAGAGACTGTGATTCTCCCCCAGGGGAACAGAGCACTTTAAAAAGAGGAATAGGAGGGCTGGTGTTTAAATATTATCAACAGACATACTTAGTTAATATCCACCTGGTGTTCTTGAGAGAGTCATTGCTTCAGCATGTGGGTTTGGAGTTTCTTTATTCTTGTGGGCAGTTATAGCTTTCCGAGCGGTAAAGGACAGGATAGCTTAGCCTGCAATGGGGAAAATGTGATGTTATTTCCTCCCACTGTTAGGAAATGGGGGAGAAGAAGATAAAAGGGGAAAGGGCCAGTTTTAAAATAAGCCATCAAAGCTGTGCATGGTGGCACATGCCTACAATCCCAGCAACTCAAGAGGCCTACACAGGAGGATTGCAAGTTCAAAGCCAGCTTCAGCAATTTAGCCAGGCCCTAAGCAATTTAGCAATACCGTGTCTCAAATTTTAAAAAAGGGGAGCTGGGGATGTGGCTCTTTGGTTAAGTGCCCTTGGGTACTCCACAGTACCAAAAAAAAAAAACAAAACTAAAAGCTGCCAAGCAACAAAGTTTATATTAAAAGCATAAAGTGGGCCCCCATTATATAAATATTTAAAAAGAAGGATCTTAAATTAACAAGCTTAGGAAAAAAGAAAAGTAATCCCAAAGCAAACATGAAAAAGGAAATAATAAGAAGAGCAGGAAAACGTTAAATAGACAATGGAGAAAATCAGTGAAGCCAAAAGTTGATTATTTGAAAAGATCAAACTGGGTATTGTGGCCAGGTGTGGTGGTGCATGCCTGTATTCTCAGCAATTTAGGAGGTTGAGGCAGGAGGATCGTGAGTTCAAACCCAGCACTTAGCAATTTAGTGGGGCCTTAAACAACTCAGCGAGACCCTGTCTCTTAATAAAGTATAAAAAAGGGCTAGGGAAGTTGCTCAGTGAGTGAGTGGTTAAACACCCCTGGGTTCAATCCCTGGTACCAAAACAAACAAACAAACTGGGTGTTGCACATGCCTATAATCCCAGCTACTCTAGTGGCTAAGTCAGGAGTGTGGCAAATTGAGGGGCAGCCTCAGCAACTCTGCAAGACCCTATATCAAAATAAAAATGGCTGGGATGTAGCTCAGTGGTAGAATGCTTGCCTAGCATGTGTGAGGCCCTGGTTTCAAACTCTAGTACCTCAAAGACTACAAAAGAAATGAATAAAATCAAGAAAATTTATCTCCCATTAGCTAGACTAAGAGGGGGAAAAGAAGACTCAAATCACTGAAATCAGTAATGAAAGAGGGGACATCACTACTGACTAGTCAAAAGAGACCACAAATTATATGATACTATTTATATGAAATGTACACAATAGGCAAATGTGTAGGGACAGAAAATAGATGAATTGTTTTGCAGGGCATGGAAAGGAAAGGAAATAGCACTTACTCTTAATGGGTCCAGAGTTTAATTTGGGGGTAATGAAAATGTTCTAAAATTACATATGTAATGACAGCGATATGGTGCCATTGTGTCCACACCTATGCTAAATTGTGTCCACACCTACCCTAAATTCACAGGTTGAAGCCTACAGCCCAGTACGTTAGAATGTGACTGTATTTGTGGATAGGGCCTTTCAAGAAGCAATTAAGGTGAAGTGAGGTCATAAGGGTAGGCCCTAATGTAATATGATTATTATCCTTTGAAAAATGGATAAAAGGGGCTGGGGTTGTGGCTCAATGGTAGAGCACTTGCCTAGCATGCATGAGGCACTGGGTTCAATCCCTGACCCTACATAAAATGAACAAATAAAATAAAAGTATTGTGTCCTCCTACAACTAAAAAAAAAAAATTAAAGAGATAAAAGCCAGGTGCAGTGGTGCATGCCTGTAATCCCAGCAACACGGGAGGCTGAGGCAGGATTGTGAGTTCAAAGCCACCTTGAACAATTTATCCAGGACAACTTATCCAGGCCCTAAGCAGCTAATTGAGACCCTGTCTCTAAATAAAATATTAAAAAGGGCTGGAGGTGTGGCTCAGTAATTAAGCCCCTTTGGGTTCAATCCCGGTTGAGAGAGAGAGAGGGAGAGAGAGAGAGAGAGAGAGAGAGAGAGAGAGAGAGAGAGAGAGAGAGAGAGAGAGAGAGAAAAGGGGCAGAGACACCAACAGGTGGATAGGTGTATTCATACATAGATGACCAGCTGAATACACAGAAAGAAAATTAAAGAAGCTGGGCATGGTGATGCATGCCTGTAATCCCTGTGGCTCAGGAGGTTGAAGCAGGATGGTCACGAGTTCAAAGCCAGCCTCAGCAAAAGTAAAGTGCTAAGCAACTCAGTGTGACCCTGTCTCTAAATAAAATACAAAATAGGGCTTGGGATGTGGCTCATTAATTGAGTGCCCCTGAGTTCAATCCCCGTACCCCTCCCCACCATAAAAAAAGAAAGAAAGAAAGAAAGAAAGAAAGAAATTTTTTTTTTAAAAGTCAAAGAGGAAATCAATAGAAGCCAATCCTGCTGATACTTTGATCTTAGACCTCTAGCCTCCAAAACTGAGAAAATCAAATTTTTGTTGTTTAAACTACCCAGTCTGTTATATTTTCCTATTGCAGACCTAGAAACATAGTAGAGTTTACTCTCTATATACACTAAAAACAGGGCTGGAGTTGTGGCTCAGTGGCAGAGCACTTGCCTAGCATGTGTGAGGCACTGAGCTCGATCCTTAGCACCACATTAAAATAAACAAATAAAATAAGGGTATGCTATCAATTTAAAAATGTATACTAAAAACCATTCAACTGTATACCTTAAATGCTTGAAGCCATGGCATGTAAGTAATATCTCAATAAAATTGTTTTTAGAAGAGTGTCCTAGGTGATTTTCCTCACACATCAAAGGTTGCAAACTTTGAACTAGACCATGCTAACAAGCAGCCCTGACAGTTTTGTGCCTGGGCCTGTAATGAGCACTGCTTGGTCATAAGTTTAATGGGTTGCTCAAAGACCTTGTAGTCTGGCATGCAAGATTGTCCAAAGACCATAGAGAATGAACAGAGCCTAAGGTGAATCTAGGCTTGATTAGATGCAATTTTTCCAGCCCTCTCTAAGAAAAATAGAACAGGAAAACAGAAAAGGAAAGAAAAAGAGAACAGGGCTGTTGGGATAGCTCAGTGGTAGTACACTTGCTCGGCATGCAGGAAGCCCTGGCTTCACACCCCCACCCCCCACGCAAGTACAAAAGTGTTTCTTTATCATTATAAAATAAATCACAAATGTTAAAGTTTTACAAGTTTTTTGTTGCTTTGGGGTATTTGGGGGTTTTTTTGTCTTTTAAATTAATTAATTAATTAATCAATTTTAATTAGGCATATATGACAGCAGAATGCATTTTGATTAATTGTACTCAATTTCAGCACAACTTTTCATTTCTCTGGATGTACATGATGTATCGTTGCACCATATGTGCAGTCATTTATGTAGTTGTTTTATCTTGGTTCTAGGTATCAAACTCTGGGCCTTGCACATGTTAAGAATGCACTCTGCCACTGAGCCACACACCCAGCCCTTAATAACAAATTTTTAAAAACTGAAAAATATAATTAGTAAGA